GTAATCCTTGACTTACAAACATTTGTTTAGAGACCCTTTGAAGTTACAATGGTACTGAAAAGTGACTTACGGCCAGTTTTCACCGTTGCAGCATCCCCCCCCCCCCATGGGCGTGATCATAATTTGGACACTTGGCAATGTGGGGCCAATAAGGGGCTCTGATGGCTGCAGAGTCTTGGGGGTCACGTGATCACCTTTTGCGACCTTCTGACAAGCAACGTCAGTGTGGAAGCCAGGTTCACTTAACAACCGTGGTACTAACTTAACAACTGCAGTGATTCACTTAACAATTGTGGCAAGAAAGGTCATAAAAATGGGGCAAAGCTGCCTTAACAACTGTCTCACTTAGTAACAGAAATTCTGGGCTCAAGTGTGGTCATAAGTTGAGATCTGCCTGTACTTAAAATATAAAAGGCAAGAGGCCTGAGGTCTGTGGGGAGTCAGGGGGAGCACAGTGTACCTCAGGGGTTGGGAGAGATCTTGGAAAACCTGGGGCCGGTGGGTCTGGGTCTAAGCTGGGTCCCCTGAGCCCCTGAGTGATCTGCTGGATGCTTAATAATCCCGTTGGGAAGAGCAGGGATGAGGTTGGTCAAACGGGATGATCACAGGACCGTAATGGCCAAGCTCCATAATGGTTCTAAGCTGAGGCCCACTTGTACAGATTTAAAGTATCTGCATTGCAAGCAGTGAAAGAATTGATTCTGAAATCCTTTTAAGATAAACCATTCTCCACTTATCACAGATACTGAAAGTATGCAGTAGGAAAGGAGGTAACAAGTTGAAGGAACACTCGTCTTGCACGTTACCACATTTTTATAAAAGGGGTGGGGAGGAATCACAGGGAGGGTTTTTCTTATACTGAATCTCCGAAGACTTTATGGAATCTTGTGACAAACTGCAAATTATAATTTGCTCAAAGTCTCCTGCAAACCACCTTCAGAGAGTGATTTTGAGAAGAATTAGATCTAAAGTATAGTGTGCAAGATGTGTCATAGCAGAGTATGGCATCCAAATGGATGATTAGAAAAGATTTTAAAAACTTTTAAATCAAGGGACTTTTTGTGTTCCTTGATGTTAGGCCATATCTAAGTTCTAGGGTGGAAAAATTGTCCCACACAGTTTCCTGCACAATTTATTTCACTCCTAGCCAAAGCCCATCATGCTATCCTGAGCCCCACACTCCTCCACTTGATACCACAAACCTGCAAATTGTATTTTTTGAGATTATTGCAGCATATATAATAAAAATAGGGAGATTTTTTTTCCTATCAGAGAAAAGGAAAATTTGTGTTCCTTGGATGACACTGTTCTTCTTTAACATACCAGTCTGAAATACTAACTTGAGGCTCTAGTGAAATATTGGCAAGATAATAGAGTTTGATAAAACTAGATTTTTGGTTTTTGATTTAAAAAAATCAAAAAGTATAACAGTAAAAGTCAACATCATATGATAACTCAAGTCAAGAATGTTACTACTTTATTCAGTTATGTTCAGTCGTAGTTTTGCTTTGATAGTTTTATCAAAAGGGATGGTGTGGCTGTAGAGATTTTATACCCCTGTAGCAATACAAGATTTTAATGCATAAAAAGCTTATCTTAAATCTTTATGGAACTTCAGTTTGGATTACAATTGCCAACAACAATATAAGCCAACTGCAGGTGTGAAAATTTTAAGAGTTCTTTTAAAGTTTTCAACTTGTGTTTGAAATTCTGATATTCTTGTGGAAATTAGGTCGTGCCCTGTGAACATAAAAGACTGGCAAAGAACAATTATATTTTGGTTTCTGTGATAGTTTTTCAAAAACAAGGAAAGATTGCTGTCTGACAGTTATTTTTATTTAGATATGTAGTTTGAACTAGTAAACCAAAAGATTGATCAGACTTGTATTAATCTTGATTCTTTGTTTTCCAGAGCACGACACTGAAATATTATTGTATTACACAAATATTACTTTACAATTCAGTGCAGGAGTTAATGGAAACACCAAAGTTCCGTGTACAGCCTTCACCTTTAGAAACAATTTCAATTATGCTTTTCCACTCCCTATATACAGCAGCAGTTAACATTTTAAGAAATATACAATAGCTTTTGAATTGCTGTCAAATATGTGATATAATAGATTTCAAAAGATTCCCATGTCTCCCAGATTTTTTTCCTGTAATGGCATTGACTTTGAACCTGTGGTTCATGTTTTATTGTATTATAAATTTTACAATGGATCTTAAACAAGGTCTTTATTAATAAATGTTTTATGTAATATTTATCCCTAAATTTTATCTGTTAAAGTGTTTCACCACAGGCGGAAATTTAAATATATCTATAATTTGCTCTCTTTGCTAATAATATTAAAGTTGAAAACTGAGAAAAATAAATTTAATAATTAAAAATAGTTTAATAGTGGACACTGCAATGCCTGGACACAGCAGAAGAGAAGAGAAAGAATTGGAAAGTCACAAAATAAAAAAACCTGCAAGTAGGATGACTGTGGCAGAAGAAAGCAAAGACAGTGCCAATACTATTATTAGCTGCCTTGGGTGCAATTCCAGAACATCTGGGGCACAACTTGAACAACATCGCCATTGACAAAATCACCACCAATCAGTTGCAAAAGAAAACTTTGGGACAGAATATGTACAATATCTTAAATATTATTGAACAGCATCTTCCTATCCTGGGTCCTTGGCAAGGACCTGGTAGGTGGTCAAAAATTCCAGATCTGGTCTAAACAACTGGCTAACTCTGTGACCCACCATAACAGAATTAAAAATTGGAAAAAATTAGTAATTATTCTTTTTCTTCAGAATATACCAATAGTATTTCAGAAATATTTAAGACTATGTTTGTATGTGTGTGTACACAACATAGTTGTTTGTATTTATGGAGATTACTTGTAAAAGCCATGAAAATGAGATCAATAACTGTATTCTGAAACAACTGCAGCAAAGTGACAATGAAGTTAGGAAAAAAAATACATTAATCAAGATTGCTATTAATAAATTTACCATTTTCTATGGGAATTCAGATTAAGGAAGCGCCATAAATTTCAATCTCCCTTATGAAGAATGCTAGACTCAAGTGCAGTAAATCTGTGGAATAATATTTTTAACTGGCCCATAAAATCGGAGTTAACATTAGGCTTAATTAATAAGTTGCAAGTTTAGTTCTCCATCAAAAAGCTGAGTTTTATAAAAGAATACTTTTATAGAAATGTATCCATTTCTGAAGAAATCTACTGTCAGAAAAAGAAGACCAAAGTACGTTGTTCTTTGAGTCCAGTTTTTATTTTACTTTTTTGTCTCTCTCTCTCTGTATGTGTTTGTGTGTCCATTGAGCCAGCACTGATTCCTGGTGACGGCCTGGATTCGTCCCTAGTTTCTAGGCAAGATTTTGAAGCCGATTTGCCCTTGCTGGCTGTCTGGGGCCGAGAGGGGATGACTGGCCCAAGATCCCCCAGCTGGCTTCACTATCTAAGGCGAGGCTACAACTTAAGATCTCCAGGTTTCTAGCACGATATTTTAACCATTACACTAAATTGACTCTCAGTATTGTTTTACTTATGATCTTAGTATTTATATTTTAATGTAATATTTTATCTACTTGCAAATAGTTTTCTAAAAACATTTGGAAGGCACGCCCATTCCTCTGAATAAAGCAACATCTGTTTGAAGAAGAGTCAGTTTCTTTGATAGTATCTAGAAGACGGCAGAGGGAAGGGAAAATAATTGAAAAACTTTTCTCGTTCTATTGACAGATATCTTGTATCAACAGGAGCATCTATTGGATAATTCATTTGTCAGTATCAAATTTTATAATATGCTGCAATTGTGATACTAGTACTTTCCTCAACTATAGAGAGCTTAAAAGTGGTCACATGATATCACAACTTTTTTTTAGATTTGGAATAACTTTATTGTCACTTTGAATGTTCACTAATGGGCATACATTAAAATTAAATTTTGTTGCATAAAAGCTCTCAAAGGGTCACCATCTACAATATACACTACAGAAACATGACAAAATAAATAAATACAAATACCTACATATATTTCTGCATTTTTCGCTCCATAAAACACACTCCCCCCCCCCAAAGAAAAAGTGGGTGGAGATGTCTGTGTGTCTTTGGTGAATAGCAGCCAGCCACAGCGGTGGGGTCCTTGTACAGTACTGAACCTTTTCTGTCTTTGTCATTGCCTGCCTTTTCGTTCTCTTTTTTGCAGTGCAGGAGTCAATAGGCAGAGCTGGCACATAAGAGGACACCTATCAGCCTGAAATTTTTTCATCTTGTTCTCCTCCTCTAAACCCAGATGCATCTTATGGTGTTTCTCATGGAGAGAAAAATACAGTATACGACACGGAGAAACAACAGTCTAGTTCAGATGTATACATGTACATGGCGAGAAAAACAAAACTTGGCAAGTTTTCCAGACGGATGGCATTGGGAACAAAGCTATTACAGAATCTGGTAGTCCTGCTATAGATACTTTGAAACCTCCTCCCAGAGTGGAGCAACAGAAACAGACCGTGAGCGTGTGGGTCTGTGGGGTTCTCTAACAATACTTTGAGCTCTAAGCACAGAGCCCTTACAAGCAGGATCCTGAATAAGGGGAATCGGCTTCCTATAATCTTCTCTGCTCTTGTTACCAATCTCTGAGTGGACTTTCTCTCTGAGGCACTGCAGCCACCAGCTTATTAAACACTCAGTTTGAACAATCCCATCCTTGTCATATAGGTTCATATAAAATTTAAATACGGAACATACACAAAATACATGTTTCCATTTATTCAAGTGGCAGATGTGTTTTTTCCATCACTTACCCCTGTTCTCTGGACTTCCAAAAAGATTGCTCTTTGGAATGACTTCTCCCATATCGCCAGCTCACTCCCTTGCTCCACATTGAAGTAATGGCTCTTGCCATGTCCAACCACCACACTGAAACAATACGGCCGCTGGTCTTCAAGCTCGTAGTCTTGGTGAATCCCCAAATATAAATTTGCTTGCAGCCAACAGTCATTATTGAGCCAGAGCTGAAAGATATATTTTTGAAGATATTTCATCTAAAGTAGAATGAGAATAATTTGATCCTGTAGAAATCAGTCACGGGTGTTTGAGTCTCAGCCTTTTTGCATCAGAATAATGCTGATATTTCACATTGTTAAATTGAGAAACCATAGTGGCTCTCTTGTTCCCCAGCCTCTTTACATTTTTTTTCCCCAAAGCAGGAATTTTCAGTAATCAATCCGAGTCTCCCTATCTGTTCACCAATCACATGCTAAGATTCATAAATAACACGCATCAACATCAGAATGTCATATGTTGACTAGACCGAAGCACATCAGATTAACAAATAAATTTCTCCTGCTGTAACGTTTCATGCAGAGGAAGAGGAAGGGCCCAGAAAAGAATCCCACCCTTCTAGGCCGTTCTCATTTCAACAGCAGGCAGGTTGAGACCCTTATGCACTTGTCTCCAAATGATACATTTATAATCAATATATTTGGTTAGTGGGTTTTGACTCACTTTCATTTTCTGCACACAATACTGAAATTGTAGATTGGGAAAAGCATGGATTTAAATCTTTATTGGAAAATGAAACAATATATTAATCCTGATGCAACAATATATTCTTGATCCAGGAGATCTACTTTATTTATTTGAAGTGGAAAAGGGAATAACCTTTAGCCTAAGGGCCACATTAAATCTACACAGGTCTGAAATACACTACTGAAGCCTTCCTTGCCGGAGCCTTTTCTGCTTAGCTTGAAAGTAGCAGTCGGAGCATAAGGAAAACCGAGTGCCAGCCTCTTAAAAATAATTCTGAAGATCTTGTAGAAAATGGAGAAGTCTTGAGTATGTTTTTATAGCCTTGAAGTTTCTCCTTTCAGACTAGTACTATTTTTTTTAAAGCCGCACAGAAAGCAACCTTAAAATATTCCCGTGCAAAACAGCTTACAATTTCCACCATTTCTACGACTAAAAAGCAGTTGATTTTAATCTAAGCAAAGAGACTCTCGATGGAACCTCACTGTCCAATTGAAATGAATGGAGTCCGGATGGGATGGAAGGAATGCTAAGTAAGACGAAAAAAACTGTAGCCCATTTCTAAAATGGGATGAATGCTACATGCTGCTAATTCAGAGGTGATAAATATTGCTTAATTAGAATGAACATCTAATTTATGATGCTAAAATGACAAACAGCAAGACAATTAATAACATGGAAAGTACTGTATATTAACACGCATATGTGTTTGCATTAACACTGTTGCTTGGAGTAAACAAAATCTTCATACTGATTGATTTTAATAAAAAGTATCCTTTTTAAGAAACCACCCACATAAATCATGTAAACCAAGCAAGCCGAGGTCTTAATTAGTTGTAATTACTATTACAGATTACTTAGTTTAAACATGTTCAGAATCAGGTAATACAGCAGAATTGCTGGGAAAATTTACTATTAATGAAAAACTATTAGTTAGTGGAATTACTTCTACTATCTATCCTTTTAACCGAAAAAGCCTAAAATATGAGATATCAATAAGAAAAAAAAACAGATTTAGTTCATCTCGGTATTACTATATGCATATAAAAAGAGAGAACTGTTGTTCAGTGCTGATATATATTGTGCCACTTCTAAATGAATAAATAAAAGCCAAGTGTTATGAATATTTATGCTCTTCACTTCCTATATGGAAAAGTTTTCAATTTATTAATTGCAAATATCATAAATGAAATTATATGTGAAAAATTAGAACTGAGAGTTCAGTACAATCTATGACCACCATGTCATAATTTTTCTAGAGAGTTTATGCCTCCCTTTAGGCTAATATTGTTCAATCCACATTTCACCAGCTCAGATTCAGATTCAGTCTCTGGCTTGGCACTGAGAAAAAGTAAGAAAGGTCCTTGCCAAGTTGGAGGAGAAATTGTTCATTTTCTACATCCCAGTCTTAACATTTTTTAAAATTAGATGCTGTTTATGTACTTGTAGAGGTGAAGTGATTTTGAAAATGAACTCACACTTGGAACTTTTCACTTGTTATGACAGGATTTTATCCAACTTGAAACACTAGGTTTGATTTCTAAAACAAATCAACTTCCAAATTATTTCAAGCTATATTTCCAGTATTTTCACTTCTTCAGTTTTAAAGTGCCCTGCTTTTGGAAACAGGACAGAAAAGAGACTCATTCCTATTTCCAGGCCCCGTTTCATGAAACATATGCACGCTAAGTTAAGGCCTTAGGAATGGTGAAAAAGAGGGATTTATGAAACATTATAAATAGAAATGAAATAAATATTACAAGTTGACCAATCTTGATGACACTTAATGATAAAGATTGTCAGAATGATGCTTAACAATATATGATAATGAGCAGCAAACCCCAGTAGCAGAAATAACTTTTACTATTCACTGGTTTTAAGACACTAGTAAAGTTATGATGCAGTAAAGAATCTATTAGTCTGGAAATGTTGCTAACAATGAATGTTTGCAGTATTCCTCACCACTGACTACATTGGGGCCACTCAAATTAATAAATTCAGCAAAATTTAGCTGGCCATACGCCATAATTTCTCCCTCAAGATACTTAGTGACTGGAATATATTTGGCAAGATATATTTACAGTGTTGTTGATTCTGCAGATGTACTGATCCCCTTATATATGTTTCTGAATTACATACTATATTATATTAAATATAAAGGATCTGAATACATCCTACTTTGTACATAGGAGGGCTTCAAATTATTATTTGGGGAGAGAGTCATGGGACAGTGAAAAGAACCATTAGCCATGATATATTCATATGAAGGTACTAATGATAAGACATGCCAATTTAATAAAGATAAACCATCAGTGGATTTAGTAGAATAGGTGCCATTAGCTGGCTGAGTTAAAAAGTAGTAATAACTGGATTCAAGACTAACAGGGATGTCAGCTAGACTAAGAAGTGAAA